TTTTTTTTTTTTTTTTTTTTTTTTTTTTGGTGTAATCACTTTTTGGATGATGAGTGCTTGATTTTTGAGAGTATATTTTAGTAGATAATAGGAAGACTTCATTTTTGGAGTGTATAAGAAATGTTTATTTGTGATACAAAAATTGCCAAACTTGTTAGCTTCTAAAGAATTTGGAAATGACCCAAAAGACAAATGCCTTTCTAAAATGTATTGATCAACAAAGAGCTTTTCAGCATTTGAAGTTTCTAAATTCTTTTCCCCTTATCCAACATCTCTGCAGATACTGGACTGAGCATGCCCAGTGATACTTCACTCTCTCCAGCAAGTCAGAACTCTCCGTACTGTATGACACCTGTGTCACAAGGTTCTCCTGCTAGTTCTGGGATAGGCAGTCCAATGGCATCTTCAACAATAACCAAAATTCACAGCAAAAGATTTAGAGAGTAAGTTTTAATTTCGCTACTGAGGTTGAATAGTTTAAGGATTGTACTTCTGAATTTAGTAGTATTGTCATTGTTAGTGAGTTGAGCAGAGAAAGTACCAAAAAAAAGTAACAATGACAATAAAACATCTGGTTTTATTATATTTAAAGCATTGCCTTCTGTCAGCTATCAGTATTCTTTTTATATTAGACAGTGTTTCTAACCTAGAAATCTGGTCTTTTAAATCTCATATATAAAATGTCATACTAAGAGTTTTCCCCTCCAAATGCTTTTTTGCTTTTTTGTTTATATTATTGGCCCTTCAAAAAAAACTCTCTAAACCAATTAATAACAGGTTTCCAAGAACTTATTATATGAAGTGAACCTATTCCATAAAGCCGTTTGTCTTTAAGCAAATATTTCTAAGTTTTATAATTGAGATAATTAGAGGATTACAAAATATGATACCTCATATGTGAATAACTTTAAATTAACAGTTATTGCCATGAAGAACTTTAGGATTTTAATGTTTGTGTAGATGAAATAATTTTACCTTGAAAAATGACATGAAAAAATTCCAGAGTGAAAGTATCATCTGTGTGAATCCAAGCCACATTGGTTTGTTCTGTTTTTTTTCCTTATTACCATTGTTTTTGAGCAAATGCTTCTTGCCTAGCTTTGGGAAATTAATTAAATGTCACATAACAGATGTGGAGCAAATGAAACACTTGGGGAATAAAATGTTACATGTGTATATAATAAACAGCTTGAAAGAAAAAAGAATGAAGAAAATTGCATTTTCAATGATCTATTCTTTAACTGCATTCTTTAATTTTGCTTTAACTGTGACAGTTAATCTTTTCTCAGTGTGTCCAGTTATGTCTTTTCTTCTGAAATAGTGTCATACTTATTTAAACATTTTTCGCATAAACTTGAAAAAATCCCCCCCCCCCCCTCCAAGAAGTACAGGCCTAGATTTTTCTACTATATAATATAATATAGAAGTAGGAATTTGCTTGCCAGGTTATTTCTAGATTAGAAATTACACCAGTTCTTCTTGTTAAGTACCTGCTTGTGACAAAGATGAGGGACGAGAACTAGAAAAGATAGAAAGCATATCAAGGAGGGCTGAGCCTGTGGCGCACTCGGGAGAGTGTGGCGCTGGGAGCGCAGCAGTGCTCCCGCCACGGGTTCGGATCCTATATAGGGGTGACCGGTGCGCTCACAGCACTCACTGGCTGAGCGTGGTGTGGCCGGTCTCAAAAAGGGCAAAAAAAAAAAAAGAAAGCATATCAAGGAGAAGTATACCTAGATGACTTCCTAATCCCAGAAATTAAGTACTAAAGTGGCCTCACATTTACTTTTCTTCTGTTTTTCGCAGTATAGTCATACATGATCTCATAGAGAGCCTTACTCACTTGCTTTGTCTGGTATAAAGGCATGTAACTTTTACCTCAAGGCCTCTTTGGTTTTGGTTCAGTTTATTTAGAGTTCATCCTCCATAACCATGATTTTCAGAGCTAAGAGGGACCATTGAGACCATCTTACCTAACTCCTTATTTTTATGGCTGAAAAAGCTAATTCCCAGAGACTTATCCAAGCTCAGAGGATGAATTGTTGGTATTAGGACATTCATTTAGAAATTATATTTCTTTCCCACCAGAAGTATCTTTAGTGTTCACTGCAATGAATAACTTTATATCTCTGCTAAAAACATATCGTTTTTATCTAATAGCAGGCATACATTTGATTTATATTATTAAGAATTTAATAATTGGGAGTTCAGATAGTACATCTCTGAGGTTAACCTATTCTTTACATAAAAGTCAGTCTGTTGAAATTCAGAAACAAAAACAATCTATATCTTTTGTTTTTCTAATTGACTTGAAGGATTTAAGTTTTTAAGGACTTGGCTTTTCATGAAAACTTTTTTTTTTTTAAAGATGACCAGTAAGGGGATCCTAACCCTTGATTTGGTGTTGTCAGCACCATGCTCTCCCTAGTGAGCTAACCAGCCATCCCTATATAGGATCCGAACTCGTGGCCTTGGTGTTATCAGCACCACACTCTCCCAACTGAGCCATAGGCCAGCTCTTCATGAAAACTTCTTACTGGATATATTTTCTCTTAAAGGTTTTCCTAATGTAATTTTATAATTACAGGAAAATAAATTAGAACAGACTTATTTATTTTGGGTTTCCTTTACAGGTATTGTAATCAAGTTCTTTGTAAAGAGATTGATGAATGTGTGACTCTTCTTCTCCAAGAGCTTGTAAGTTTCCAGGAACGCATCTACCAAAAGGATCCTGTGCGAGCAAAAGCGAGGAGACGACTGGTTATGGGCCTAAGGGAGGTTACCAAACATATGAAGTTAAACAAGATCAAGTGTGTTATCATTTCTCCAAACTGTGAAAAAATCCAGTCAAAAGGTATGCACATTTTGCTTTTGAAGTATTTTGATATTTATTTAGTATAGTTGTAGGATATACAATGAATTTTAAAGTGGAAAGCCATATGTCTTTCTCAGCAGAGTTTATATATAAAATAAAATATTGAGCATGAAAAAAGAAAATGAAATCTTTCAATACCTGAAAGTAAGTAGTATAACTGAGATTGGATTGTAAAGAAAATCTTCATATGTGAACACTAGTGAAGGATTTTGGTTGAGCCCAGCAAGTGTCTGCTCTTTTGTGATCAGAGTGGGCACTAGTCAGAGTGTGTTTTTTTACCTCCATATATATATTCTACTCTTTAAATTTTCATATTACCTTCCTTCGATGTCCCTGTCCTCTTAAAAAGAACTAGAAAAAAGATAAAGATCTCTGTTCCTGTTTATGGTGGTGATTTGTCTCTCAGAAACAAGCAGTTAAATATGGAGTCTCCTTGGTAAGCCAGCACACAAGTACTTTGTCCAGTGTCACACATCCTTCTTTGTTCTTTTTGATGGAGGAACTACTTTAGGTGATTGGAATAGGCAGATGCATCAATAGCAGTAATAACCATATGCATAGGGGAGAAATACCAATAAAGCCAGTAATGTATAATCTATGTCATTGCATTGTGGTAGGTCATTATTTGAGCTGAAAGAATAGAAAAAGGTGTCAGCCACTATTAACAATTTTAATTTCTTGATAATAAATGTTAGTTGAATTGAAATTTGATTCCTACTATGCCCATCCCTATGGAGGGACAAAAATACCAGGTTTGAAGGAATTTGGAATTTAATTGGGGTGGAAGAAAATACATATACATATCCATATGTTGTACAAATTCAAATAGAATATGTATAACAAAAATGCTACAAGCATTCATAGACTCCATTGCTGTGGTATTCTGTGCTTTAGCTGTTGGATGCTAGATTAACTCCATTTAAGATATAACTAAATTAAAATCTCTACATTTGTTGGTTTTTCTCAGGTGGCCTAGATGAGGCTCTGTATAATGTTATAGCCATGGCACGGGAACAAGAAATTCCTTTTGTGTTTGCCCTTGGAAGAAAAGCTTTAGGACGTTGTGTGAACAAGCTGGTTCCTGTTAGTGTAGTGGGAATCTTCAACTACTTTGGTGCTGAGGTAAGAATTTAGAAGACACCCACTCTCGCTCCCCTACACATCTCCCAGATAGTACATTTTCTATTGACACATGCCAGTGTTATGTTTAAGCATTTGAAGGAGTGAGTTGATGACTCTCAAAGAATGAGTGGAAAATTCCTGAGTATTAAATTTTCTTTCTTAGTAGTGAAAACATTTACATAGGTTAATCCTACAGAATTTAAAAGATTTTAGTTCCTCTTTCAGCCACAGTGCTTTTTCTCCCCCCTTTTAAAAATTTTTTATTTAGGAATAATTTTAGACTCACAAGAAAGTTGCAAAAATAGTACAGAGAGAGTCTGTGTACTTTTCATTCAGTTCCCTCCAATGAAAACATGTTACATAACCATAGTACATTATTAGACAAGGAAATTGACATTGGTACAATATTACTAACTAAACTACAGACCTTATTAGAATTTTACCACTTTTCATGCAGTCGTTTAAAAGAAAACCTTTCTCACTGTGTAATTCTGTGAAATGTCATCACTCATATAGATTTGTGCAACCACCATCACAATCAGGATACAGAACTGTTTCATCATCACAAAGAAGCTCCCTGTGCTATACTCCTTTACAGTCACACCCTCCCCCTACCCTCACAACCACTTATCTGTTCTCCATCACTGTGGTTTTGCCATTTTGAACATGTTATATAATGGATTCATACAGTCTGTGCTATACTCCTTTACAGTCACACCCTCCCCCTACCCTCACAACCACTTATCTGTTCTCCGTCACTGTGGTTTTGCCATTTTGAACATGTTATATAATGGATTCATACAGTCTAAAACCGATTGGGATTGGCTTTTTTTCAGTTATCATTATGTCCTTGAGATTCATCTGAGTTACATGTATTTTATATATTTGATATATCTTTTTATTCTTTTTGTGTGTGTGTGGCTGGCTGATACCGGGATCTGAACCCTTGACCTTGATGTTATAACACCACGCTCTCACCAACTGAGCTAACCGGCCAGCCCTCTTTTTATTCTTAAGTAGTATTCCATTATATTAAGATATCAAAGTTTATTTTCCATTCACCCGCTGAGCATTGAGGAACATTTGGGTTGTTTCCAGTTTTGGGCTATTACAAATAAAGCTGCTATGAACATTGATGCACAGGGTTTTGTACAAACGTAAGTTTCCATTTCCCTGGGATAAAAAATACCAAGGAGTGTGATTGCAGAGTCAAATGGTAAGTGTATATTAAACTTGATTGGACGTTGTCAAATTATTTTCAAGATTATTTTAAATCAAAGGTCATATTAATATCACTTCTTACTCAAAACCCTTCAGTGGCTTCACCATCTTAGTCCAGTTAAATACCAAAGTCTGTTCAGTCATCCAAAAGATCTCATACAACCTGGTCCAATTCCGTCTGACTTCTCTGTTATTCTCCCTTTTCATTCTGCTCTGGCCACACTGGTGCCCTTTCTATTCCTCTCACCAACCAGGTCACATGAAAAAGTTCGTATATTGTGTTACTTCAAAAAGTTCATGGAAAGATTCATATTATCCTTTAATTCTGTTTTTCCACAAACTTCTTTTTTAACTTATTTTTTCATTATACATGTTTATGGGGTACAGTTTGTTGTTTCAGTACATGCATATCAGAATAGTTAGCATATCTATTACCTAAACATTTATCATTTCTTTTGTTTTATAACATTCATGATTCTCTTTTCTGGCAATCTTGAAATATACAGTACAATATTATTAGCTATTGTCACCTTAGAGCACTGAAACTTACTCTCCTCATCTAACTGTAGCTTTGTAACTTTGTACCAGTCTACCAGCCTTTCTTATCCCAGTACCCCAACTCCTTCCTCCCTTTCCCTGCCTGATAACCATTGTTCTACTATTTATTTTTTTCTTTTTAATTTATTTTTCTTAGGTGACTCGTGATAATTGTATACATTTATGGAGTACTATGTGATATTTGGGTACATTCATATTGTGTGCAATGATCATATCAAGGCGCTTAGTATATCCATTACCTCAAATCATTTACCTTATCAGATAGCTGTACCGGCCAGGTAGGAAAAAAAAAACAAAAAACAAAAATTGTCACTTCTTTGTGTTGGCAACATTCAACATTGTCTCAGCTAGCTACTCAAAGATACACAGTAATTTTTTTGTTGACTGTAGTCTCCCTATATTGCTATAGAACACTAGATCTTATTCTCTTGTACTTCCCCTCTCTCTACAATTTTGTATCCACTGACTACCCTCTCCCCATTCCTCCTCTCTCGCCCTCCCTCCCCCTCCCCTTAATAGTTTCTGGTAACCTCTATTCTACTCTCTACTAATATGAGATCAACTTTTATAGCTTCCGCATATGAATGGAAAACATGGTATTTCTCTGTGTGCCTGGCTTATTTCGCTTAACATAATTTTCTCCAAGCTCATCCATATTGCTGCAAATGGCAGAATTTCATTCTTTTTCATGGCTGAGTAGTATTTCATTATGTGTACATACCACAGTTTCTTTATCCAGTCATCCATTGAAGGACATTTAGGCCGGTTCCAACTCTTGGCTATTTTGAATAGAGCTGTGATAAATATGAGAGTGCCGTTATCCTTTTGACTTGTTGATTTCCAATCCTTTGGATATATATCCAGTAGTGGGATTGCTGGATCATATGGAATATATTATCCCATTCTCTCCTGGCCTGTAGGGTTTCTGCTAAGAAGTCTGCTATTAGTCTTATGGAGATTCTTGTATAAGTGACTTGACATTTTTCTCTTGCTGTTTTTAGCATTCTCGCTTTGTCTTTAACTTTGGATGTTTTGACTATAATGTGTCTTGGAGAGAACCTGTTTGGGTTGAATCTATTTGGGGACCTTTGAGCTTCCTGGATTTGGATTTTTGTATCTTTCTCAAGACTAGGGAAGTTTTCAGCTATTATTTCCTTAAATAGGTTTTTAATATCTTTTTTGTTTTTGTCTCCTGGAATGCTCATAATTCGAATATTTGTTCATTTAGTAGTATTGAATAGATCTTCAAAGCTTTGTTCATTTTTTTTTCTTTTTTTTCTTCTGTGTTATTTCAAAACTACTGTCTTCAAGATCAGAAATTCTTTCTTCTGCTTGATGTAGTCTGTTGTTGAGACTCTCGGGTGTACTTTTTATTTTGTTTACTGAATTCTTCAATTCCAAGATTTCTGTAAAAATATGGAACACGTCAAACATTTGCATGTCATCCTTATGCTGGGACCATGCTGATCTTCTCTGTATTGTTCCAGTTTTAGTATACGTGCTGCTAAAGTAGTTTTTTCTTCTGTGTTAACTATATAATACTTTATAATTTATTTAACTGCTGGTTAAAGGATATCCAGTATTATACAATGTGAAAATAGTCTCTTCAGTCTCTGTGATAGGTATATTTTGTGCTTCTAGGAGTCAAGAGAGAAAAGAATTCTTTAATGGAAGAGATTTTCTGTTAGAAAGTAAAATTTCTAAATCAGTTGTCAGAATAGTTCTGCACCCATGATACCTTCATTTCTCTCTGGCAGTAATACAGAGCTTTGCCTGTATACTATAAAGGTTGTTAATGTTGAGTAATGCTCATCAGCTGATGGTGTTTTTAAGACTTTTTTTACAAAATTGATTCTAAAGTACTTTGTGAGATCATTGGTGGACCATTTCCTCTCTTCCCAACTGTACTATTTTTATGTGTCTGTCTATCCTTTCCTGTCCATTCACCATGTTTGCATACCCTGTTCCATTATTCATTCAGTTCTTTCACCATCAGCGAAATTATCTACCCACCTACTTACTTTAAGTATGTAATATTGTTATATGTAATTAATATTGTTCTCCCAGAGTAGCCCATATTTATCTTGGTTATAGCATATTACACTGCCTTGTTGTAGTTTATGTGTGCTTCTTCCCCTTTAACTGTGAATTCCTTGTGGATAGGTCCCTTGTCTTTGTGTCCCTGACACCTTTCACATTACTTGAGCATGAGGAGGTGATAAGTGTTTGTTGAATGAATTGTGTGATAGATATATATGTGTCTGCTTTTTTAAACTATGTGTGGGAATTTGGGTGGTAAAACCTCTGTGGAAAAGAAGGGTCATATATAAAGACACCTAATAAATATGTACTCCTTTTTTGTTCACTATGAGAGTTTGTGAAATAGGAATGGGATTAAGGTCAGGAAAAGTAGGCAAGTTTGTTTTTAATTGTATTGGCTTCTTCCTGAATTATGTATGTTAGTTTCTTTGTGTGGTTTTATGTTATAAAATACTTTCCAGTTTTATTCGCATGTTTATTTTACTTGCCTTCTACTATTATATAAACCAAAATATACTCTTAAAATAGAATACTAAAAAAATTAGTATATTATCAAGTTTGTTTATTTGCCATAATGTGGTAGAACACCTAAGTTATTTTTACAATCTGATAAAACTAGCTGTTTTAGTCTGTTTTGTGTTGCTAAGACTGGGTAATTTATAAGGAAAAGAGGTTTATTAGGCTTACGATTCTGGGACAGCTGCATCTGGCATGGGCCTCAGGCTGCTTCTACTCATTGCAGACAGCAGGCAGCAGCCAGTCAGTACAAGCAGATCACATGGCGAGAGGAAGCAAGAGAGACAGAGAGAGAGAGGGTGCCAGGGTCTTTTTAAACAAGGAGCTGTCGCAGGAACTAATAGAGCGAGAACTCACTCATTAATCCCCTCTCCCCCAGGGAGAGCAGGATCACATGGCGAGAGGAAGCAAGAGAGAGAGAGAGAGAGAGAGAAGGTGCCAGGGTCTTTTTAAACAAGGAGCTGTCGCAGGAACTAATAGAGCGAGAACTCACTCATTAATCCCCTCTCCCCCAGGGAGAGCATTAATCCATTCATGAGGGATCTGCCCCCATGACTCAATCAGCTTCCAACACTGCCACATTGGGGATCAAATTTCCATATGAGTTTTGGTGGGACAACACATCCAAACTCCATTATTAGCCTTTAAATTAAACTTCCTATTCTTACTCTCACATTCAAGGCTGTTATTCCCAGATCCTAGCTACTCTCTTCATTTTTTTCTTCTTTTCCCTTATATTGTTTTATTTCTAACAATTTGTCTTATTTGTATTGTGAAACCAGTGTTAATCTCAAAATCACATGTCCATATGCCTGTTTTATTTTCATTGGTTTCACTTAAATGCATCAACAAGTATTTGCAAAGTATGTTACATGTAACACATAGGAGCTGTTTTTAACAGAATCCATTCTTCCCCCTTATTAAAAATAAATAAAATTCATTACCTTTTCAGCCAGCCACCAAAAAAAAATTAAAAATAAATCCTGAATGTATTTTTGATACTGCTAGTAGTCTCAAAAACCAACACAATTAGCAACATCGTGTATTGTACCTGCTACTTTAAAAAGTTTGAACTGCAGCTGGATAAAGGATGCTACTATTATTTTTCCTTCTTGAGATTAGTTTTCAGAGACATATTATTCCACAACAATGTAGCACTTCTTGCCGTGCTTTCATCTTGTACAGGTTTATATGTAAATGACAGAGCCTTGGTAAGAAGAAAAAAATTGTGCTATACTTTTTTTCCCATTGTCTGAAAACACAATTTTATATATAAAGCTAAACATATCTTTATAAATGTCCAGGTCACGTTTACCATTGAAATTTTTAATGTCGTGGGTTTGTCGCACCGTGATACTAAATCAAGACGTTTAACAGGAGTGGAAGGTTATTGAATTATGGTATAGGAACCACTAAAAGTCACTGTTGTATGATTGTCCTTCTGGTGGCTGTGGAAACTTAAATCTTCTTTGGACATCATTAGATATTATAGTTATTGAAGTAGAACTTTAATGCTGTGTGAATCTTGCCATTTTATTAAACATGAGTATGCTCCATGCACCCACCATTTCATTTGAATGGTTTATTCCATTCATATCAGTTTTTGTTTCGCTGTTGGAAGAACTTGTGGTTATTTAGTTCCACATTATTCTAGTCTCTATATTCTGTTTTTATAATTTGCCTTTGGCCCAATAATCATGCTTCTCTATCTTGTAAGTGTCATGTTTTCATCATCCTCAAGGTCCTAGCTATCCACATCATCCCCGACTTCATGTTCTTCCCCAGGTGAACAGTACAGGGAACTTTTAATTCCTGTGGAGACCCCATCTTCTTCTACATTCCTGGATATCACCCTGCATATACTCATTTCATTATATTCTAACTCAATTAAGATTCTTCACTTTTCCCCAAACAAGCCTTGTACTTTTCAAATGTCTATACCTTTATTCATGGTTTTGCTTGCTTAGCTAAGAATGCCCTATCTTCACTCCTCATAATTGTACCTGTTTTTGAAGGCTTAAATCACATTTCATTTTCCTTGATGAATTCCTTGGTGATGCCTAGTAGTTAGATTTGATGTCTCATCTAAAAGCCACAGCACTTTATGCTTCCCTAGGCATTTAAGTTATACCTGGAATTATAACTGTCTCCTGTCTTCTGCTTCCAGTTACATTAGTATTTTCTTGAGGGCAGAGTTGGGGTTCCATTTGTCTCTCTACCTTCTGTAGTGCCAGACACTGCAGAAGAAGTGTAAAAGAGGGTGCATTTGTTGGATCTATAAACTTTGCAAGAACTTTTTATCTATCACATTTAGTGGCTAATGTTAGAATCAAGAAATTTCTTCAGACTTGGGAAAATTAAATAAACAATATATGTAAATTGCAGAGTATTTTATGAGGTTCTGTGGTTTGCATACTATTTGGATTTTGTCCTGTTTTTAATAGTATATCTAAGTCTGAAACAAACCATGGAGATATTCATTGCTAATAATAAGAATGAGAAGTGTAACCAAAAAATGACTAATCAAAATCTCTTTCTTTTTAGAGCTTGTTTAATAAGTTAGTAGAACTCACTGAGGAAGCCAGGAAAGCATATAAAGATATGGTTGCAGCAATGGAACAAGAGCAGGCTGAGGAAGCCTTAAAGAATGTGAAAAAGGTACCACACCACATGGGGCATTCTCGGAATCCCTCTGCAGCAAGCGCAATTTCTTTCTGCAGTGTTATTTCTGAACCCATCTCTGAAGTAAATGAAAAGGAATATGGTAAGTTGTTATGTACCATTTTAAATGACTTAAACTATGAAATAATTTAAGTGATTAAAATCATTTTGTGAATGACTTTCCAAACTACCTTTTGTTTTTATCTTTATTCTTGATTTTTCAAATTTTGCTCATCATTTTGATTTAAAAATTGCATTACACATGTCCATTAAAAATTAGGAGAATATTTAGGACTGAGACTTTCTGTGAGACCCTGGCATTTAGTCGTAGTTTGAAAATCTTCAAAAAAGCCCAAGGGGATTTAAAAAGCAAAATTTGTCATACTTGTGACCTATCACTAAATGATAGAAAGTTTTATTCTAATACTTTATACCCAGTCATTCAAATTTTGTATTTACTAAGACCTGAATGTTATTCAATCTAAGCTTTATAAAACCTAGACATGTGACATTTGCTTTGAGTTAAATCTGATTGTAGCCAAAAAGAAATAAATTAAAAACAGTATTTATGTTTAGTGTTTAACGTCAGCATCTCAGTAGTTTACTTATTTTGTTTCTATAAACTTTGAACTCTTAAATTCTTTCTGATTGTAGCCAAAAAGAAATAAATTAAAAACAGTATTTATGTTTAGTGTTTAACGTCAGAATCTCAGTAGTTTACTTATTTTGTTTCTATAAACTTTGAACTCTTAAATTCTCCTCTTTCTTGATTTAGTTTCTGATTCATTTCCCCTCCCTCCCTTTCCTTCTTTCCTTCCTTCCTCCCTTTTCTTCTTTCCTTCTCTGCTTTCCCTCTTTCTTTCCTTCTTTTCCTTCCTTCCTTCTTCCTTCTGTCCTTCCTTCCTTCCATTCTTCCTTTCTTCCCTACCTCCTCCCATTTGCCCCAAGTTCTTCCTTCTCTTCTTTTCTCCTTTTAATCTGTCCGGGAGTTTACCAAATAGCTTGTTGCCACCTAAAATTTAACATGAGAAAAACTGAGTCTTCATTTTCTTCCCACACTCCCTTTTGTGGCCTCCCTATCTGTAATTATAGTTACATATTTTTGGAATTGCCCAACTAGAGGCAATTAAGAAGTTGTTGGCCTTTAGGAAACTGCTGGTCATGGATAGGTGGTACGGGCTTAGAAGCAGACATGTTTCTTTTGTAGGATTGATACTAGTTGAAAATAAAGACGATAAAGTGCTAACTTTGTAAATGAGATCAGTCCTCTCTAATGAAATGCCAGATCTTAAAGGCAAACTGCAAGATAAATCCATAAAGCTGTGGATTTGAGCAAATGATAGGGTGACAAATGATCTTCATATGGGCTCCTATGAAAAGAAAAGTAGTTCGAAAGTATCCTCTAGGATTGAGGATATGTTTTCAGAAAGCACCAGACTTAAAGTGTTCAAAGATCAAAGCCTTGGTTTTTTCATACTCTGCCTAGGTGATTTAGGTGTAATTGACTAATCTTTCTTCCTCAGACTTGCCTTTAGAAAAAAATTGTTGGAAGGAAACGTAAATGCGCATCTAAAATTTTTAGAAATTTTTTGTGCCTTTTAAAGTTTTTTTTGCATAATTAAAAGTATTGTGAAAATTTTTATTTAATCACCTTTTTTAGCACTTACTATATGCCAACCATAGGGACACAGAGGTCTGGAGTGGGAGTGAGGAAGGATATGAGGAGATGGAACAGCAGACACAAAACAAACGCTTTTGAATTCTATATGTAAAAATTGCTGTGGGAAGTTCAGGTTCGTGAATGCCCCTCTTAGGAAAGTCAGGAAAGACTTCACAGAGGAACTGACTCTTACGGGTGGTTATCAAGCATAAGTAGGAGTCCGAAGGGTAAAGGAGCAAAATACATCTCATCTAGAAAGAACAGCTTATTCTAAGGCATTGCTTATGTTATATGACTTCAGGGAGCTGTGGGAATTCAGAGTGACACCCAACATGGAATGCATGGCTGGAGGCCAGGATGAAATGGGACCAGAAAGGAAGATAAGGACCAGATCATGAAGGGCTTGGCTATGCCAAGCTAAGGAGTTGGATTCTATCCTAGGGTGATAGAAAGCCAGTTCAACAATTATGTGATCAATTCACAAAACCAGTTAGGAAGATATTGCACATGTACAGCAAGGTAAAGATGGTCTGAACTAAAGCAGTAGCGACCATATTTAGTAATTTTTGAGATAGAAGTGACATGGTATCGTGATGAGTTCAGTGGAATGAAGCGGGGTATAGTAAGGAGGAAGGATAGGATCAAGGATTACTATAAGGTTTCTTCTGCTTTGATACTGTGTAAATGATAATATCATTGACTATGAGAATATAGGAGGAGGATAATTTTTTTTAAGAGCTAGGAGGGAGAGTGGGTAGTACCCATTCTCCAGTGAAGTAGCTGCAGAAAAGAGAGGTTTTTTCCCAAACCATGTGCCCTGGCTTTATGTACCCAAAATATAATCTGTATCAATATATAGTCCATGGGCGATAATCAAGTTGAATATATTAACATGAATAGGTTTGCTTATATCACTACAACTTTATAAGAACATTATACCTATAAAGTGCAAATAGTAGCTGTAATGTAAATAAAATGGGATTTTTATTTTTTTTAAATAACAAAAAATAGAGGAGTGGGAGAGCTGTACATCATTTACTGATTCCTGGTACATTTTTTGCTCTGAACTGATTTCCTTTCATTAAAAATAATTCAGATTATCACCACTTTATTATATAATAACACTGTTTTTACCCTCCAGAATCACTTTTAAGCCAAACTACATATATATATATAAAACAAATTTCCACAGATGTTAGAAATGCATGGATAGATTTTTTGCTTATAAATGGAAACACATGTACCATTACATGCCAAAGGGCAATTTAGATAACTCAATGAGTGAGCATGGTACAAATTCATGAAAATAGTACTATTTTTGTTGGACGTCTTGGCGGATAGATTTTTTGCTTATAAATGGAAACACATGTACCATTACATGCCAAAGGGCAATTTAGGTAACTCAATGAGTGAGCATGGTACAAATTCATGAAAATAGTACTATTTTTGTTGGACGTCTTGGTTCTGCCATCTGAGAGTTGTGGGTCCTTGAGCCCAGTACATCTCTAGGCCACAAAAAAATTAGACAAGTCATTGATTTTCATGATCATATGGATTCTATGTATGAACATCAGTGAGCTTTTGTTGGCATAAGAGCTTTTGCTTTCTGAAACATTAATATACTTATTTTTGCCTCCTTTTTTTTTATATCTTGAATGCACATTTTCAAGAATTGTTTTCCCTTTATAACATTTAATCTAGTACTAGAATAAGTCAAATTTTTAGTTTTTCCAATCAGTTGCTAAGCCAACACATTTCTGTATTTTGTTCTTCCCTCTTATTTTGGGACTACTAAGAGTTACATTATTCTCAGTGTCCTGGTTTTTAAAAAATCTTTTTGATATTTGTAGAAACAAATTGGAGAAACATGGTGGAAACTTCAGATGGACTGGAAACATCAGAAAACGAGAGAGAGGTTTCTTGTAAGCACAGCACTTCTGAAAAACCCAGTAAACTTTCATTGGATACAACCCCTGTTGGTAAGCAGCCACCGTTATTGGCTACGGGCAGTACTACCTCAGCTATAAACCCTGGGAAATCCACAGCAAGCGATAAAGAGGAAGTGAAGCCAGACGACCTGGAATGGGCCTCACAGCAGAGTACAGAGACTGGCTCTTTGGATGGCAGTTGTCGAGATCTTTTGAATTCCTCCATCACTAGCACCACCAGCACTCTTGTACCTGGCATGCTTGAAGAAGAGGATGATGAAGAGGAGGAAGAGGAGGAAGATTATACTCATGAACCCATATCTGTAGAAGTGCAGCTCAATAGTAGAATTGAGTCTTGGGTCTCAGAGACCCAGAGAACTATGGAAACCCTTCAGCTTGGAAAAACCCTTAATGGTTCTGAGGATGACAATGTGGAGCAAAGTGGAGAAGAGGAAGCAGAGGTGCCTGAGGTGCTGGAACCTGGGATGGACAGTGAGGCATGGACTACTGACCAAAAAGCCAGTCCTGAGCAGCAGAAGTCCAGCAACTGCAACTCAGTGAACAAAGAGCACTCTGATTCTAATTATACACCCCAAAATATATAACTCAGGAAGTGTCAGCTGTCTGTCTCTAACTGTGTAAGGGTTGCGCCATTACCTTTTATGCTTCATCTCAACATTTTGCACTGTCTTGTATTTAATATATGTATTTAATTCATGACAAATGTTTTTGTAGCATTTACTTGTTTTGTTATGATCGATAGCTTAGCTTTTAATTAGCATCTAAAGTGTCTTTCTAAGAACTATGTGGAAAATTCAGATATGTTTCAACTTACTTTGTAATGGAAAATAATGATTTAAAAAGACCAGGTTTAAAGAAAACACATTTAAATGCTTATTTAAAGTCATTTTGAAAGGTAAGATGAAGCTTCTAAAAATAGAAGCAGTAACCAATGTTTTCTTTAAGACTATACTTTCTTCACTCTAATATTTCTGACCAAAAAGTTGTTTGGGCTTTTTAAAAAAAGACTGAGGTAGAGTCAGAAAACTAAATAAAAGGCTGAGGATAACTAAGTCCACAAAGTGTTTTATGTTAAAAAATTGGTGCAACTTTTATTTGGTTCACAAATGCTTATTTTAGAAGTCATTGATCATTGTAACCAATTAAAATTGAGATGGACTGAAACAGAGCCTCCAAAACTTAGGCTAGCATTAGAGCCACCATCATAGATTAGAGCTAGCTAGCCTCATTTGTGGAGCGTGATATTTGTCTGTAATAGCGAACAGTCACCCACCATAGGACCTTCCAGGTTCTGTCTCATATTTACTTCTTTCTTACCTCAGGAATGCTCTTGTACATAGTCTTATTTACATAAAGTTAGGCAAATTTTGACAGGTGAATAATTATAACCGGTCATATGGACTGCAGCACTTACATGTAAACTATCCAGAAAAAGTCTTATTACTGTGTGTTCTCTTGCATGCTTCTGGTTCAGGGCCCTTTTGATTTGAGATATGAATTTGATTAAGTATCCAAGCTTGTCCTGAGTACAAAACCATTTCAACTTTTTAAAAATATGTAATTTGAGCCTAGCCTTGAGCACCTTCCACATAGTAACAACCGTAGTTACTGACAGGAGATCAGGGGAAGGAACTTCGGACAACTTACTTATAACATGTATCCTGATAATCAAGGCTTAGAAGAAGATGTTTTAGAAGAAAAGAGAAAGTTGTTCTAATTGTGCTGAAACTATTAGATTTAGAGTATACAGATATATGCAGGTATTAATTCTTTATTCACTATGATTTATATCTACCCAAGAAAAGAGAAAGTTGTTCTAATTGTGCTGAAACTATTAGATTTAGAGTATACAGATATATACAGGTATTAATTCTTTATTCTTTAGGAATGTGTATACCTGCTTGGGAGAAATTAAACTTACTGAGCTAAATATTTTATTTGTTAGTCACCATCTGGACATTTCAAGTGACCTCTACAAGTTTATGTAATGGTGAGAGAATTACAAATGTTTTTCTGCTTTCCCATCCAAATTCCCACTTTCCCTCACAACCCAATCCCAACTGGCCAACACACACACACTTTCCATTTACAAGCTCCCGTTAGCAGGCACAAAACCGAGGAGGGAGAGATATTTTCCCTGCCCTGGTTATGTGGGCAGGGCTTTGCCTCACAGAGGCAGGAGAGAAGAATTGGGCAAATTCTTTACTGAACTCATTGGGACTACTGTGCTAGTTTTGATGTTTTATGATGATGCTGGCATTTAATTACTGGAGAGATTAGATTCTTGGTTGATGATTTAGTATTTGTGAATTGTGAAAGTTTAGAAGCGTTGCTGTATAGAAAATGTCGGTCTATCAACTTTATTAGTTTGCTAAAAGGGGACGTTATTATACTGTCCTGTCTAAACTGTTCTTCAGTATAGACTTCTTAGGCACTAATTATCCAGTACCTAAAGGAACACAGCACGTAAGGAATGAAGCCTCTGAAATAGTAATCATGGATTTATATGTGGCAGATCTTACTGTCTCTACACATTCGGAAGTATTAGTTGATTTAAAGAAATGATAGAGGTTTTGATCTACTGACAATCTTAGAAGTGAATTAAAAAACTTTTCATACTTTTTATGGTATAAATTTCTTTGCTCAGTGTCAGTGATTCAGATAACTCTTGATCTTGAGATAATAGCTTTTCAAAAGTTTCTTATATTTTATATCTCTACTGAACATGAATCGTCATTTTAGATTTTTGACATTTGTATCAAAAGAGAAGTTGAGATCTTCAGAACACCACCAATAACTTTTCATTTTGCTATAGACTTTGGAAGTGTTATATGTTCGATAAATGCTTTTGCACATGCAGTACCTCTTCTGCCAGCAAATCCAAGGGACCATCGCCTTTTTTGTATGAGTCAGGTCACCTCTAGAAGATAACCCAAGATTTATTAAAGGAAATGCTACTATGTTGAGAGTATGCTTAAATAAGTGTTAATAATGTCTTTATAATTAGTTTCCTTTAGATAAATTTTGGAATTTGTGTATATTGAATTGCAGGCTTGGAGGAAGTGTGAAAATTAGGAAAGTGTTTTGTTTTGTTTTTTGGGAGTAGGAATGGTTGGCTCTTTGAAGACCTAGAAAGAGATCTAATGTTAGAAAGAGATCTAATGGTTAGGAAGAGTAGGAGTTCATTATTACAAGAATTAAAAATGATAGTGACTTTTTTTCTTAGTGTATAGACATTGTTTTACTGGCAATAATTAATATTAGATTTCTATTTCAGTACATGAGTATATGAATTACAATACGAATTACACTCTCAAAATTAGATTTTTGCTTCAGTAGGTTTGTTTGCTGTGAAGATTATTTCTCAAAAGACAAATGTTCGTATGAGCTTAATTTTTGGTTTAAATATGTTTGTAAATGATGTAATATATTTCTTTTGACTAAACAAAACAGTGGAAAAATATTGTGTTATACATTGAAAAGTTTTTACAGGCTTTGACTGGAAGTCATTTTTGCAGAGATGGTATTTTATATGCTTCCAGTATTTGGAAAGAATTAGTCAAAAGGAATTCACATAGTTTAAATATTGAGAAATTAATATCCAAATAATGTACTTGTCTGATTTCTTAATAAACTGGGGCAGGTGGGTGGGGTGGGAATTGTGCAAATGAGTAGTGATCTCTACATTTGTTTTCAACTCTTTAACATAAAACTATTAAATCTTAACACATTGTTACTTTAATGTATGTATAAGGAAGTATTGCTGTTTGTAAAGCTGCTGTTTGCTTAAAAAAAACTGTTGTGTATTTTCTGTACATTGTGCCAACAGGTTGGAACATTAATCCATTTAAAAGCTTAATTATCTTTTTGCGATTTTTAAAATTTTCTGTGAAATAATTTATTTACAGACACCCTCCTCCTCCCTTTTCCCTTCTGACTTTTACACACATTACAGAATCAACAAACTGCCTAATCTGAAATCTGAATCTTAATTAATGATAAAAATTTAAAACTTTGTTGGCACATCACACCTTAAAAGTATTTGTATTATTTTATAATTTTGTCTTTAAATATACCACATGAATTTATAATTTAATGTCTTAATTGTAATGCTCTAATAAAAAATTAGCACATTTAGTATGAGTTATAATATGAAGGGATTTTCATCTTATTTTTTTTGCTGTATGAAGGACAATTGTTATATCACATTGGGGGGGTAATAGCCTTTTTTGCACTATGTAAATACTAGTGGGGATTCTTCTGTACTAATAAAATGATTATTAAAAAGTAGTCTGTCATTTCAGAATACATACTTGAAGAATTCATGACTTGCCCAACACATAGGACAGGGAAAAAATAAAAGTCCAGCTTATAGATTGGTCAGTACTTGCATGGGTTTACCAAACAAGGGGGTAAAAATCTGCAGGAAGGAGTTACTAATAAAAATCTCCATCTGGAATGGTGGATGTGATTTGTGGCATGGGCCTCAGCATCTAGGTAGAGACCATCCTGGTGTTAGGAGAAAGTTCCTATAGATTTCTTCTCTTTATAAATTTTATACTAGTTCTGCTGTGCCATGCAATGTTCTAAGCCGTTTCCAATGTTAACTCATTTAATCCTCACGGCAGTTCTATGAGGTAGATGCTGTTAACTATTTCTCACTTTTCAGATTCTTCTCTTTATAAATTTTATACTAGTTCTGCTGTGCCATGCAATGTTCTAAGCCGTTTCCCAATGTTAACTCATTTAATCCTCACGGCAGTTCTATGAGGTAGATGCTGTTAACTATTTCTCACTTTTCAGATTGATGAAATGGTCATGGAGATGTTACGTAATTTGCCCAAGATCCCACAGCTGGTGATTGGCAGGACTGGAATTCAAACTCAGTCCCTTTCCCAAGTCCATGCTTTTAATCACTATGCTTTGTTGTGTCTTGGCACAAAGTGCTCAGGGTGTGCAAACCAAATATGATTCCTTTACCTTCAGGTGTCTACTGGAACGTAAAATGGGAGGACTGAACTGATTGCCTTAGGGACTGGTTTTATTGGACCTCACATGACCACTCTTTACCTAAAGTAGTCCCAGACCTTGTCACTGTGTCACAGTGAAATGTAGTATTTCTGAAAAGAGTAAGCTCATCTGTTAGAAAATAGACACTAATTTTCAAAATAAAAAGAGAAAGGAAGGATGCTTCATCAGTTGTGTAAGATTTTATTTTCTTAATCAATGCCTGTAGTTCCTTTCCAGCAATCAGTTTTTCTCCTAACTGGCCAGAAGAGGGTGTGCATGGCACCTAAAAACAGTCAAAAGTTACCGTGTAGTATTAATTTTTTAACGTGGGGAGAGAAGAAGGGAAGTATCCTGAACTACGGGCCTAGCCATAAAAGGTGCTTAGTTCTGAGTCTGAACTCAGAATATGGGAACCACGTCTATGAGTATCATTTTAGGAAGAGAGAACATTAAACATTTAGGCAATCCCCTACTGCTATGCTTCAGTGGCTTAAAAAAAAAAAAAGACATTTAGACCACATGTTTAGTAGTTAGGTGAAATTTCTAAACACTTCAATCAATACTTTTGGCTTGACTTGGGTTCTTTTGATGTTACATATGAAATATGACATCTGGCGTATATAAGAGGCATCAATGGCAGCCTTGTGGATTGCAGGGCCAATGTGTGCTCCAATGAAACTCTCATAACACAGG